ACTCATAGTTTTTAATAATCACGCGAAAATAAAATGCATAAATTTTGGTTTTTTTTTTTCGAGAACGATAAAAAAAAATTAATCAACGATTCAAATATAGATTAAACATTTAAGCAAACTGAAAGAAAAAAAATAAAAGAAAAAGCAAGAAAACACTCATTTATATACATTTTCTCGAACTTTTACACACAATAACTTTTAATTTAAAAATGGAGTTTAAAATTCCGAACATTAATATTAATAATTAAATTAAACCCGATAGTTTGTGATTTTTGGTGCATGGTTCAAAGCGAAAAAATGAAAAGTCACGATGACCTTTGGTGACACACATTAAGAATTATTATATTTACTTTTTCCAATCATTTGTTGGAAAATTTCTATTACTATTATGTACCGTAGTAATAAATTTTCATGTGAATGAAATGTTAAAATAAAAAAATAACGATTTTCTAATATCGGCAATAAATAAAAGAAATAATTAGTAAAAAGTAATGGAAAATAATTTTGATTGAGATTTACCAAAGGATTTACTTTCATGTATTTTGACTTTTTTTTCCAAGTTGTGAATGTTTTCTGGATCGGTGTCATTTTATCTAGGTTGACGGTTGATAATTTATTTCTAGAATTGGAAAACAATAATTTTAATTTTTACTAAAACAATCTCATTATTATTATTATATATTATTAATATTGGATTTATTAATTTTTCCTCTCTCGCATATCCTTTTAAAAAAAACCCCAAATATTTTCCTAACCCTGCACACAAACAAATTAATCATTTGTCCAAAGAGATTGTCATCGATGTTGTAAATGAATTTTAGTGAGACCCGAGATTTATCATCTTTACTTTTAAAAAAAAATAAATTCTACAGAAGGAACTAAAATTCCGATTTATTTAATTATAAATGGATGCAAAGAAAAACACATGATGAATAAGCAGTTAATTAATGCTAACAATACAAGTCGAACAAAACTCTTTTTGTATATTAACAGTTAATAGATACAGTTCACTCTCCCTATAACGAATATGTATGTTTTGTATCTCTGTGAAATTAATTTTTTAAAAATAATTTTTTTTTTTATAATTGTTATATAAAAAATTTTTTAATAATAAAAAAACACCCCGCCATTACTTTTTTGGGGGACTGTAAAAACGGATTTCTGTAACTATTATTTAAAATTTTTTGTTGAATAAAAATGGATAATGATAAAGAAAATATTTGAAATTTTTTTTAGAAAAAGAAAAAAATAGAAATTGATATTATCTTAAAGAAATAGTCTAAAATTCTTTGAAAATGAAAAGAAAAAACAGGATGAAGTATCAGTTTATGTAGATAATTTATTTTTAACAAAATTCTTCTTGAATGCAATGAAAAGGAATGATTTGATTGGCGATAAAATTGGTTTAACTAGTCATTAAAGAAAATGTTCAACAGCCTTTTAATTTATCTTTTTGGTGATGGATGGACATCAGGTATTGTAGTAATATTAGACCTATCCGATTTTGCTTGTTTTTTCCACCTTGTAACATTACTTTTACCATCCACTGAATCATTCACAACTTTCATCGTTTGGAGTACTAGGAGCTAGAGAAGAAATCAAGTATCAAAAGAAGTTTAAAACTTAAATGAACTAAGTGTAACTTACCTTTGCATATATTATCTCAACTAGCACGTCCAAGGATTTACCAAAATTATTTACATCCACATAAACTTCAAGTGGATTTCTTCTTGTGTATTGACAGATATACCCATCTGGGCAATCAAGATTTGTTCTAATCAACACAGCGCCTTTAAAAAAACAATAAAGGAAATTTAATTGCTTTTATTCCATGCATATTTGTTTTTGTTAAAAAACCTACAAAGTGAACATAAAATTATAAAAATATATATAGGGATAAGTGTATATGAAAATTAATAATGAAAATATTGGATCTACTGAATATAAAAGGCATTTGATTTTTTAGAAAAAGAGTGTAACTGTGGCTGCTCTTCAAGAATTCCCAAGGAACAATTTGCAGAATTAAGAGAATCTTTTCAAGCTCTTTCTAAAGTAGAACAAGACATATTTTTAATGGCTCAACTTAAGGCAATGGATGGTGGGTCAATAAACAGTAGTAGACGCCTTAAGAATAAAACTAGATCTAATAAAAGAACTTTCTGCCATTGGGATCACAATACACTTCTTTGTCAAGAAACTTACTTCAACATCCGGAAATATAAAAAATTTTACACATGTCAATTGTAAGTTTAATAATAAAAAAGTGTAAAACTTACGTCGGCACTGTAAGATTACACAATATTACGTCAGCATTGTAAGATTTATGCAAGTTTGCGCTAAATTAATTTCCTGATGTAGGAGTAAATCATATTTGAAGAATTTCAATCATATTTGCAGATCTCATTGTACGAAAGTACTTTGAATTTTTTTTTAAAAAACATTTATTAATAACAAATTTTTTCTTTTATATATTTATTATGTAGTATGGTTAGAATTCGATTAGAGCTTTCTAAGAATCAGCAAAAGCAGAAACAGCTATTTTAACTTTCCTCGAAATAGACATTTATTATTATTATATATAACATTAACATTTTTTTTACTCAAAGTTCCTTTTATATACTTAATATGTATTATGGCTTAGATATTCAATAAGAGCTTTCTAGGAATCAGCAAAAGTGGAAAACAGCTATTTTAACTTTCTTCAAAATAGACATTTATTATTATTATACATAACATTGATAGCATTTTTTTACTCGAAATTTCTTTCATATGTACTGTAACAGGAGAGACCGTCCCTAACAGTTGTTAAATG